TATGTGTTGTAAATATTTTCTTTTAGTCTGTGGCTTGACTTTTCATTTTCTTAGTGGTGTCTAAGAAAAGTTTTAAATTTTGATGAAGATTCTTTGCCTACTCCAGATAGCAAAGGTTGTTCTCCTATTTTCTTTTTAGAGGTCTTATAGTTGTAGCTATTATGTTTAGGACTGTGATCCATTTCTTGGTAATTTCTGTGTAAGGGGTGAAGTGTAGGGGTCCAGATTTATTTTTTTCCATACAGAGATCTAGTTGTTCTAGTACAAATTATTGAAAAATTTTACTTTCCCCACTGAATTACCTTGGAATCTTTGTTTAAAAAAACAACAACAATTGACCACATATGTTTAGACCTATTTCTGTACTCTCTGTTCAGTTTCATTGATCTATGTGTCTCTGTGCCCATATCATACTAACCAAATTATTGTGACTTTATACTGTCTTGAAATCAAGTACTGTAAGTCTTCAAACTTTGGAGTTTTTTAAAAATTCTTTTGACCATTTTGTGTACTTGGAATCAGCTTATCAAATCCCTGCAAAAAATTCCTTCTAGAATTTTGATTCAGCTTGCAGTTGACTCTCAGCAAGAATTGGCATCTTAATGATATTGAATCTTCCAATCCATGAACATGGTATACTTATCCATTTTTGAAGATCACCTTTAATTTTTCACAGCAGAGTTTTGTATTATCAGTGTACAGGTCTTGTAGATATTTTGTTGAATTTTCCCCTAAGTAATTGTTGGGTGCAATTGTAAATAGTGTTTTTAAATTATATTTTCTAGTTGTTCATTGCAAGTATACAGAAATACAATCAATTTTTGTATATTGGCCATCTGTCTTGCAACCTTGCTAATAAACTCACTTGTTAGTTTTATTAGTCTTTGGTAGATTCCTTAAGATTTTTCTAAGTACACTGTCATGTCATCTACAGATGAAGACCCTTTTGTGTATTCCTCTCTAGTTCCTATGCCTTTTATTTCCTTGTATGAATTTATTACACTGGCTAAGACTTCTAGTACAGTGTTGAAAAGAAGTGATGAGAGTGGACATCCTTGCCTTGTTCCTGATTAGAGAGAAAAGGGTCCTTTACCACTGTGATGTTTGCTGTAGGTTTTCATAAATGCCCTTTATTAGGTTGAGGAAGTTTCCTTCTGTCCCAGATTTTCAAAACTTTTCATAAATGAATTTGTCGAATGCTTTTTCTGCACCTATTGAAATGATTATATAATTTTTAACCTTTATTCTGTTGAAATGGCAAATAACTTTATTTTTCAGGTGCTGAAAAGGCTTTCATCTTTGAGATAAACCTCACTTGGTTCTGATGTATCATTGCTGGGTTGATTTGCTAATATCTTGGATGTTTCTGACAGTGGACTGCCCAGATGAGCAATTAGGCTGTACTATCCAAATAAGGTATTTGGAACAAGTTTGAGCACATTCTACAGATAACTCATGTCTTAGTAAAGCCTGTAGTTACACCCACAAATAATTTCACCTTCTTTTTTACTTGTCCTTTGACGTGTACTGCCATCAGAGACAGAGTATATGCATGTCCTAGCAGGGCAACATTTGAGGTATGAATTTAAGAGTAAACAGTGAGTTCTTTGAGGGCAGGGAATTTATCTCATTCATTTCTACCCGTATAAGATTAAAGTTAAGTGGTGGTACAGAGGTCCAAAATCACAGTGGCTTATACAGAATGGAAATTTCTTCTCTCGCAGGCCTGGTACTGCTCTCATCCACAAAAGTCCTCATAGACCCAGTCCTCCAGTGCCCTGCCCTACCATCCCCGGGATGTGACCTTACTTGTTCTCCGGTCGAAGGGGGATGCATCTGCATTCCTGCAGGAGCAGAGTGAGGGAAGGGATGAAGAAGGAGGAGCAGGGTCTATGCCAGCTGAGTTTTAAGGAAGATACCCAGAAGCTGCCATGAGAGACTGCCACATATACGTACCTCTGACTAGAACGTAGTCATGTGGTCACAGCAAGGTGTGGGTTTTGAGGCAAAGGTTGTGGAAAATAAGCAGTCATTCTCTGTTGGAAAATCTAATAGTTTTTTCACTTACATGGTTTTTCTGAAACAAAGTTATTTGCAACATTTCCCTTTCTGGGCCTGTTTTCTGGAAGAGCCAAGATACGTTAACAAAGACAGTGGAAAACAAAAGTCGTGTCGATGTACAGAGTAAGCTGTGTGGGGTACAGACAGTGTGGTTCTCGGTACCTGTGTCCCCAGGACCTTGCGTGCGGGATGGCACACTGTAGCACCAGCAGACGTCTGTTGACTGTGTATTATGTATCTGCTTCCTCAGAATCTCTGTGCCAAAAATAGAAATAGGAAAGGTGAATAAGGATATGTTCCAGGTTGTCAAAATGGTAAGATTCGGAATTGCATTAGATACTGCCTTGCTGAAGTCTGGTCGGATGTGCTGGAGTCCGTCTGTACACACATGGGTACACATAGAGGCGGGCAATAGGGGTCAGCGGCCATGTTGCCTCAAGAGAGTGAAGGGCAGGGACATGAGAAATTGGCATCACCAGTTTTGTTATACTTCCCCAGGTTTTGAAGTCTTACTTGCACCAACTCGAGACTTTCCTGGCAGCGGTCAGAAAGAAGGGGAAAAGGTTTAAAAGGCAATAACTTCTCCATCATGCAAGTCAATATTCTTTAATGCCATGCCCCAACTAGAATCTAATGGTACACTCTCTTGCTCGGGGAATACGGGTGAAAGGAAGATGCTAGACTGAGGAGGTTTGGCTTCTAGTTTTGGTTCTGTCGCTGTGAGACCTCGCAGGTCACTCAGCTTCACGTTTCCTCTTCGGTGCTTTTTTCCTCCATGGACTTTCAGGGAATTGACTCTTGAGAGACGTACTGTCAGTGTTGTGTGAACAGCAGGCTCGAATTATGTGTGCTCCCCCAGGCACTAAACATGAAGTGGATTTAGGCAAAAGCTCTGGATACATCAAACACGGGCCCCTGTCAGATTTGGAGATGCGTGGGCGCATCTGTCACTTGAACAAATACCACTGTCTGATCAAGTATAAATCGGGGGAGTGGTTGATTGCCAAGGCCCTAAGACATGATAAGTTAGAGTCTTGGAGGCCATTTCAGATAAACTTCATAGGTGCTTGTCTGGTCTGGTAGAGTTGGCTGTGCGGAGGACGGGAATGGCCCTGCCAAGTGGAATGTGGTAACTCAGGATGGTTCTGAATGCTGGGGCAGGCAGTTCAGTGGGCTCTGCTGGTTCTTATGAGCATTCCAGCAAGCTCCCAGGTCACCCACTGTCTGTTGGAAGGTGGAGTGTTTCTAGGTGCTGGACTGAATTGCCACATTCTGAAAAGGCCCAGTGGTTGGCTCTCAGGAACACTATAATTTATTGGCTCACTACCTTCAAAGTGCTGAATGACTGAAGAGCGTTGCAGAGAACCATCTGAAGGTATAAATTGCTTCCACAGTGTTGGGAGGTGGCTGTTTCCCTCCCCCCCCCTTTCCTCCCACTAGCTGTTTTTTTGTCCCCTGAGCATTTCAGAACAAGTGAGGAAAGAACTAACGTAGAAAAAACAAGCAGGAGGTTCTTCTAACACCTTCCTCACTCGCCATCCTTCTTTCCACACCCCCCCACACAAACAGTATAAAAATAGAACTAGTTATTTTTTCTTGGGGCTGGCTTTGGTCTCCTCTTGTTTGTTTCGGTTGGCGTTTGTTTGTTTGGAGGGAGGGAGGGAGGGGAGGGGCAGAGGGAGAGGAAGAGCAAGAATCTCAAGCAGGCTCCCTGGCCAGCACGGAGCCCAGTGTGGGGTTTGATCTCACGACCTTGAGGTCATGACCAGAGCTGAAGCCAAGAGTGGATGCTTAATTGACTGAGCCACCCGGGCGCCCTGTGGGTTGGTTTTTATCACACCATTTCCAGAGGCTCTGGTAACATGTATTAGGTGCCGTCACTTTGCATGAGGGGGGGGGTTGGGAAGGGGCACACTCCTGGAGTGGATAAGGATGAGGGGCTGAAGTAGCGTTTGAACTCAATTTAAGGGTCAAAATCGGAGTCTTGGTAGGTTTTTTCCCTGCACAGGAGGGGTGGGTATAGGCACCTGACAGGCTGGACGTTCCCGCACCCTATTTTTATCCAGGTGACAAGTTCCAAAAAATTTCCCCAGGGGAAGAAAATAGTCACAAAAGGGGAGCACAGAGCCTAACATTTGTTTAACTGGGGGAGGGAGTGCATGGAGCAGTTGGCCTCACAGCAGTGTGGTGCACGGTATGGACTTGAGCCTTGGCTGTCAGAGAAATCCACCCCTTTCCCTGCACTTGTCCCCCAGGGGCCATCACCCTGCAGCCATTCAAGGAAGACAGGGAGGAGTGACAAATGTGAAGCACCTCTGAGCCATGCCAGGTCCTGTGCTGGGTGTGTTCTCTCACTCCATCCTCACAGTTGGGGAATCAGTTCCCTGGTTTGGTTTTTTTTTAAGATTTTTATTTATTTGAGAGAGAGTGAGCGAGTGAACATGAGCAGGAGGAGCGGCAGCAGGAGAAGGGGAAGCAGACTGCCCACTGAGCAGGGAGCCCGATGTGGGGCTCGATCCCAGGACCCCAGATCATGACCTGAGCTGAAGGCAGATGCTTCACCAACTGAGCCACCCAGGCGCCCCTAGGTCCCTGTTTTTTGCAGATGGGCAAAAAAAGGTAAGTATTACCAACTCAGGTGGCAGAGCCACATTCAAACCGTGGTCTAATTTCCAAGCCCAGGATTCTTTATGTAGAGAGAGAGGAAAAAAATCTGACGGTCTCAACAAGGTATAAGTGGCTCACATGCCCAAAACAGAGCCAGAAGCAGTCATCTCTGAGTCCCCCTCCAAAGATGACTGTGGGGCAGCAGTTGACAAAGCTGAGCCAAGTCAGCTTCCAGTTGGCCCGTGGGACTCATGCTGGGCACCTGGTCCTCTGGAGAGGAGGACTTGCTTCAACTAGGTTTAATGTATTTCCCTTCTTTCCTCCCTCTACAGATGGATTTGTCTGTAGAAACTCTCTTCAGCTTCATGCAGGAGCGCCAGAAAAGATACGCCAAATACGCGGAGCAGATCCAGAAGGTCAACGAGATGTCAGCCATCCTCCGCCGCATACAGATGGGCATTGATCAGACTGTGCCCCTGATGGAGCGGCTCAACAGCATGCTGCCGGAGAGCGAAAGGTTGGAGCCCTTCAGCATGAAACCAGAGCGAGAGCTCAGGCTCTAGAGCTGCCTCTCCCCTCTGGCCAGGCTGTTGTTCTGTGGGAACAGAGCCTGGCACCGCCAATGCCCTGAGGACGTTTGGAACCAAAGTCCCAGGAGGTGACTGGACCGTGAAGCTGGTTGGAGGCTCTGGGACTCCCGGAAGGGCTGTGACGCGGCCCGGCCGGCCTGAAAATCTGATCCTGTCCCACCGGTCTCCTTTCCTTGATGCATTTTTCCCTTTGCAAAACGAACCAAATTAATTCTCGGTGCTAACCGAAGTTGGAGCATTTGAATTATTAGGAATTTGTTACAGAACTTTGTCGGGAATTCTTTTTATTTTGTTTAGATTTATTTTTTTTAATTCAGAGTGTATATTGTCAAGTCTAGCTTGTGGGGTAAAACTCCAGAGAGAAGGGGAGAAATGTTTTAAGAAGCTCTGTGTCCTTGATGCCTTCATGAAATTTTACTCAGTAGGCCTTCCGTGTTATGAATTGTAAACATAAAGAACTAATTTAATCCAAGTCTCCGTGTTGTTACTGTTCCTACCCTGTTGACGTCACATCAGGTCTTTATCTGGGGCACCCTGTTCCTGCCGTGGCTTAACACTGGTGTTTTTGTTGTGTGCTGGGTTATGGTGTCCGTCCTATGTCGTCCTCGGGGACTGAGGACTTCCTTTGAACACCCTCATCAGGCTCATCTCCCACTGATAACTGGTTTCCTTAATGCAGATGTGGTTTAGGTTTCTTTTTATTATATCAGCACTGGCAAGACTCCAATGTCTGTAAGAAGGTTTTAACCACATTTATTTTACTAGCCCGGCAACCCTGCGGTGTTAGGCAGCCTTTGAAATGCCTGCAGCGGGCGTTTATCAAGCCCACTCGATGCGCCTGACATTGTGCCCCGACTACAAACAGGGCTCTGTGGTCCCGGCCCTTCTTTTCTGAAGAGAGGAAACTCTCAGTGCTGCTGAACTGCTGGGAGTTTAGAACAGGAACCCACCCGAGTAACCACAGAAGTACTTAGTGCAGGCGTGTGCACATCAGAACTGTCCCCAGGGAAGAGAAGACTGATGAGGCAAAGAAACAGAACGGAGGATGGGGCGCCTGGGTGGCTCAGTCGTTAAGCGTCTGCCTTCGGCTCAGGTCACGATCCCGGGGTCCTGGGATCGAGCCCTGCATAGGGCTTCCTGCTCCTCGGGAAGCCTGCTTCTCCCTCTCCCACTCCCCCTGCTTGTGTTCCCTCTCTCACTGTGTCTCTCTCTGTCAAATAAATAAAATCTTAAAAAAAGAACGGAGGAACAGATCGAGGCAGGCACATTGCGACCAGGAGCTGGGGCAACGGGGAAGCCTCTGAGACCAGGACATCCTGTCAGGACTCACCTCGCTCCCTTTATTAAATCCTCTAAACTTCAGAAGGTGTTTTTTAGATGTCAAAAACGGCCTTTGGTATATTTATAACCTTAAAGTTGATCCACTTACTTTAGCATCTCTCTGGTAAACTTGATCTGATTCTCATCTCAGATTTTAAACATACGATTTTGGAAGATTCTTGGTACCCAGGATAACACATAGGACATAAAACAACTGGGTGACAGAAGAAACCTGAGCATTCGAAACTAAATGGAAAAAAATTTTAATTCGGACACGAGGGAGAAAAAAAAAAACAAGCTTCTAGGATTTTCGAAGGAGCAACCCAAAAATGTCAAGACTGTTCATCCCTCTGAGCTGGAAAGACCAGATGGACACCAGAGCCCAGGGAAGAGGCTGAGGCAGCGTCCCCCTCCGTCAGGGGGCAACCTTCACATGGCGTTTCTGCCTTCCTGGGGCATTGTAGCGTTCCCCATTAGGAAGGCGGGCTAGAGATGTCCAGCCTGAGGAGATAGAGTGGCCTGAGGGAGTCGTGGGGGACTCGGAAGCCATAAGCTGGGGAGGGAGGAACTCGCCCCTTAACCTTTGCTGGGCAGCACTCGTCAAAGAAGGCTGTGTTTCTAATGCCTTTTGATGGTCAGGATTTTACTGGGTCTTAAACAATTTCTAGAGGAATTTATTCGCGGGTACAAATCCAGAAAGATGTTTGTTTCTTAGAAACCTATTAATAGCTAAGGTTATTTTAGCAAATGTCACGGAGGGGAAGGTGGCCACGTTTATTGAATGACGCGTCGTCCCTCCGCTGACGCGCAGTACCCCTTCTGTCGTGTATCACGTTTCCACATGACTGAGGAGCTAGTTCTGAACTATATTCTCATCCACTCGTCTTTCTCCCCACTGTTTCACGCAGTTCTTCATTTTTCTATATGGTTTTAATATCATTTCACAATACGTTTTAATATCGGCTATAGCCAGTCTAGGTGCCACCTGTGCTCGTTACTGTTTTTTCCTTCTTTTTTTTTTTAAAATTTCAAACCGGCAGAAATTATGTCTTGAAGAAATAATGCAAGGAATACTTCTATTCTCTTTGCCAAGACTGACAGGAAGTGGCTTTTTTAAGTCATCACCCTCGTCTTTTTCTGAGTTCCTGGAGTGTGCAGACCCAGCTCTGCCTGCAGCTTTCAGAGAACGAAGAGCTATAAAAACAGCTCGGGGATCAGGTGCTGTCACCATCACTGCACTTAGTATAATTTACAAACTAAAGCGCAGAACGAATAAAATGAGATGCAGACCAAGCCTACTGAGGACGGAGCTTGCTCACCGTGCGTCAGCAGTTCATGGTGTGAGCGTGGCAGGAAGGCGGACTGACCGTGGCATGAGAACATTCTCCACCAGCCAGCCAGCCAGCTCGCCACCCAACTCAAAAGCCAACTCCTCTGCTTCTGAAGAAGTTAGACGGGCACCCAGCTGGCCCAGTCAGTACAGCGTGGGACTCTTGAGCTCAGGATTGTGAGCTCAGGCCCCATGTTGTGTGTAGAGCTTACTGGAAAAAAAATGAGTTTAAAAAAAAGTTAGAATAACTTACGTTTGGGTCCTAAGTAGCGAGGCTACTCATTACTGGGTAGAAGCAGAGAAGAACAATAGGCAAATTCAATATTTTTTTTAAAGAAGTCTAGTGCGTTACGGTGTGGGGGGTGGTTTTGCAACGTCGTCAGCTTGGCTGCACTGGACTGTTTGCTGCAGTCCCCTTCCCTGTTCGTTTCTGGTTAGGCCTGGCCACGAGAGCCATCTGCGTGAGGTTTGGAAGTGGACAGAAAGCCGCAGCTTTGCTCCGTCGCCGGAGGTCGCCGATGTCAGGCCCTGCTGCACCTCAGGCTCGCGCTCGCGGACGGCTGCTGGCCTCATGGCTCCCCTGGCTGCCACAGAACCCTGCCTTCGGCTCTTCCAAATCGCGGGCCAGGTACGAATCGAGCTTCTCCTGTAGGCCCTCTGTGGCAGGAGGCCGCAGCTTCGAGAAGAGGGGAGGCCAGCGTGGGTCCTAGCGAGAGGCGGACGCCGGTTCTGGTGGGCTGCTCGCAGGTTCCAGCCATCCTGGCCATCCCTTCTTTCCCGCCCGCCTGCCCGGTGACTTCACGTGCACCGGAAACAGCTCAACTGGGGCTCTCTTAGCAGCACCCGTAACGAAGTGCTCGAGGTCAGTCCTTTAACGCTCCCGTCCCTGATTCTGTCATTCCTGGTGCTTCTGCTCCGATTGAACCCTGGCTGGTAACATGGCGCTACCAGCCCTTTCCGGCCTCAGACTTTTACATTTTCTGGCAGATTCTGGGAATCTGAGTGATGTGCTATTTGAAGAGCTCATTCTGCTGAATCTCTGTTGCTTAATGCCCGGTGACCTATCTGGACCCTCTAGGAGCTTCGGGGACAAAGAGGCCCCCTGGCGTTGTAGGGGGCTGTAGATTTCCAGCCTGGACCTTTGGCAGATGCCTTCATTTCCCTGAGCCTGTTTCCACCTCCCTGTGGTGTGAGCTGGTCTGGATGGGCTCTCGGGCCCCTTCCAGCTCCAGGATTCCCCTTCTGTGACTCTCATACTCTAGCAACACCTGTTGTCTCTGAGCAGTGGCCCTACATTTCAGAAGTGACTTTAAGTTCTGAGCTCCCAACAGAGCTTGTTTCCTTCTTTTGTTAATTAGAAATTAGAAAGTGTCCAGTGGCTCCCTCCTTTTGAGTACCAGTTTTGCTAATCTATTGCTCTATGTATCTGTATTTATGAACACTGTCAAACAGGCCCCTATAACCACAGTGTCCTTGTTTGACTCAAAGTGGATGTTGGTAGAAGCTGGCCTTCACCCCGTGTCATGTGTGCACGTCACTTTACAGGGAATGAATTGTGGGGTTAAGAGCCAGTGAGAGTGTAGATTCCATGAGAGCCTATATAATTTGACAGATGTCATGTCTTTGTTTCCCTTAAAGTTCTGTCCTTTTTAGGAACGTAATTTATATTCTCCGCAGAGTATTTGAAGTGAATTCTGAGGACTCCAAGCCTGAGATACAGGAGTGCACTCAAGGAATAAAGTGGGGCTTTTCGTTCGTTAAAATCTCCTCTGGGTATTTCTTTGCTATTTCCGCCGACATATGAAGAAGGTACGTTATGGGTATTCCAAACATGCTGTTTCCAAGGTTACATAAACTAATGGCCCTGGGGGACTGACATGTGCCCCTGCTTCTGTAGAGTTGTAGAACTTACTTAGCTTTGGCATTTCCCTTAGCGAGTCCCAAGGCAAAACCAGGAATCTTCAGGAATGGAAGCTGGGAGCAAACATGGATTAAGATTCTAGGGTGAGTGAAATTTTGTCTTCCCGATTTGTTTATAGCTCAGCTTAAACCCAGACATACAGTACTCAGTAGGAAACTACTTAAAATGTTGCTATTAAAGATCAAAGGGTAGAGTGAAGTGACAATTTTTCTTCTTTAGGGATGACAGTTGTTCTTCATGCCAAGAGAAAGAATTTGCTCTTCTTTCCCCTGCCCTTTCATTCCTCAGTTAAGAGCTGCATAGCGCCCCAGAGAAGAGATCATTGCTGTTGACTAACGTATAGTAAGGAACATTGAATTTCTTGCACACACACAAGGCGTGTCACTTCCATTCAAAAGGCCCGACTCCAGAGGGGAAGGGTGACCAGATAACTTCTTTATTCACATGCCTCAAACCAAAAAAATAAAAATTTTTGGCAACTATACCTAGTTGCTTCCTAGTCTAACCAGTATCTCCTGTGGTGCGCTGATGTGTGTCCGTTACTGTTAGGAATTTGTGCAGGGTTATCCAGGTCGGCATAAGGCCTGATGGAATTTACTAAGGACTCCATTTTCTTCACCAGTCAAGGCATCTTCCTACTGCGGCCTTTTACTTTTATTATATACAGTGAGCGGGATTCACGCTCCAAGCTTTGGTGAACCAAGTACTTTAATTTCAGCCTTTGAAACTGTCGCAATTGCCTTGAGCAGAGAGAACCCAGAGCACGGCTGCACTCAGCCTCTGCAAGCCACACTGTTTGCCTGGGACACTGCTCCCGCGAGGTCACAGCCTGCATTTCCCGTGGGACAGCGTTTCCATGGGCTTTACTGTTTTAGCTAGAACCAAAGGAATGAAACTGGGTTTTACATAAACCCCATTTGATGCCTGTGCACATAAACTGCAACAATGGGACTGACTTGTAAACATCTTCCAAGACAGTGATGTCATTTTCCAGTTGATTTCGCAATACTTTAAAGATATAACTGAGTATAATTATGCTGTACAAGGACAAATGGGCCCCACGGAATGCTAGAAATAACTCACTTCCCTCTTCCTTTTATAGATGCAGGAAAGTAATATTCAGAGAAAAGCACCTAGACAAATGTTACTGGATCTAAAACATTTCTGCGTGGTGTCAGAAAACAAAACCAGACAGTATTTAAAATGACAGGGACGGCTTTGAGGTGAAAAGTTTGTCACCTAGTCCCAGTATGTACACCCTTCCCTTGCCTTCTCTACCTTCCTTGTTTCCCCTTAGCCTGAGCCCTGCTCTAATTTTCGTTGTCAGACCCAAACTAGTCCTCCGGCACTAGCCTGCTCTTACTGGTCTCTAAGAGGCCCCCAAATCTGTATGCTTAAGTCGTAAGTGGCTTGACCTTCAGGACTTCCCAAGATCTGTACCTCCTCATCTGAAGCCTCTCGCTGAACACCTGCTTGCACACGCTGTCTTCCGTCTCTGGAGGCAGACGTATTCGACATTCCCTTTCCTCTTGTGTCCCTTGCCCACCTCCGGTTCTTTGCAAGGTCCTGGCCAAGGCGGCTCTTCTAGTCCTGGCTCACCCAGTACCATCCTTCTTGCTTTTAAATTTTCTGAAATTTAACTTCAACTCAGAAGCCTGTCCCAACCAACTTAAATGACGTCACCTGTGATTCTCATCATTATTCCAGGGTAATATGCTTTATTATGAAGCATATTTATTTATGGAGGCAAATGCTTATTCCTTTGATGCACAGAAATCTCTGACAGACTGATGAGACTAAGCTTCTAGTGTCGTATATAAGCAGAGGAGTCATGAAGATGTACATGGCAAGGATGGAGAACAGATCTAGGACTAGTCCCCATTTTTCCTACAAGAATTATAAAACCATTTACATATTCCATTAGAATGTGCCATGACTGTGCATCTGGTCTCTCTTCTTCCTACCCTATACTCATTCTCGATTCAGTCAGCCAGCAAATATTTACCGTGTCTAGGGTTCTCCACTGTAATGTGCATCTGGGATACGCACTAAAGAACGGAGGCCAGCCGGGCACTGTTAGCCAAGGCGCCGTTGTTTCATGGGCTGATGGCGCACGTACTGTGTCTGATGCCCTCAGCACTTTATTTTGAGCTAAGTCCCCTTTGACACGGGAACAGCGGGACGGGTTCCACCGCAGCCTCCTTGTGCAACTTGGATGTTGCTCTTCCCACCAACAGTTGCAAGGAGAAGTCCTTTCTCATTTGTGTATAAACAGGTACCAGTTTTGATTTTATTTCATATTAACACATGAACATCAAAATGAGAACTGCACAATTTAACCATTCAACAGCATCTTACTCCAAAAGAACACTATATTCATAATAAACAATTATACAGTCTTTCCATCTCCCTTTACAAATGTCCTAAACCATTGTCCAGCCTTTCTCACACAGAAGTCTAGTTTTGCTCTTTAGAAATCCCAGTGTCATGCTGACAGACGCCAGGGCGACCCCTCCGCCTCCGTGGGGAGAGAAGCCCGCCCGCCCGCCCACGCGGCGGCAGTCTGGGCCCGGGCACTGCGTACCTGACACGCGCAATCCAGGACGACGGCTGTAGGGCAGGACTACCTCACAGTCACGGGGGGGAGGGGACCATGGCCACGAGCCTGGGACATACTTAACACTGGAGTGCTTGCTTTCCCTTCCTAAAAATGTTCCACGGCTGTGACCAGACTCTGGAAGGAGTGAGCTCTTCCACGCTTGGTGTATACGTGACACCTCACCAATGACTCCGTGACACCTTGAAATGTCTGATTACATCCCCAAGTTAAATGTACGTAGAAAAACTACCTCAGATCATTGAACAGAACTTCTCCCACACAGTGACACCGAGCTCCCTGTGCACTGTCCTCTCTTCCCGCCTTCCCTTTACCCCCGGATCACAGCATGTTATTTGTGTACAAGCAGTTAGGTTACGTGACGCTCGGAATCATCATGAGCAAGTGCATTCTGAAATCGCGTCATTCGTTCTGTGCTGGCTTCAGCAGTCATCATAGGAAACACGACGTCACATCCTAGTCGAAGGACTATCCATTTTTCGAACACGGAAAAACCTGAGATATGAGTCAGCAACTGGCTACACTTACAGTAAAGAACAATGACATCACCCCCCCCCAAAAGAAAGCTGCTGACGTGAATTAAGGCTTCAAAAGAGGACCATACTGTAGCTGACAAGACTCAAGCCAAGAAGTTCAAAAGCAGATGAGTACTAATCACTTGTGTACTGGTTCCAACCAACTATTTTCAGCTGCCAGGACTGATTCCATACAGTGATTGTAGGTCAGAGACTGAGAGGTTGCCTTGGTCCCACTCCATTTTGCTATGTCCCTTCTACTAAAAAAAATTTACCGGGGATAGTTTCTGAGAACAGCTTGGCTGTGGCTTTCCACTCTGCTCGCACAAGACAAAATGCTGCCCCCTTCCCCTCACCTGCCTATAGTTTTATTCTGAACCCTCCTCATGGAACTAGCTTCTCAGCCCTATTAGTAAATCGGCAAGTCTGAGGAAATTATAGACCTCCCTCATCACATGCTCAGGGGAACAAAACTATTGAGAAAAAGGGGTTTCCTGCCTCTCCTTAGCGATTTTAATTCTTTACTCTTTCCAGAGCTTTTCTCCCTCTTGGTAGTTTCCTTGAAAAGTCTACCTGTTAGGTTTTCACAGAATGTATCTGTGCAAAGAAACAGAAATGGGACAAAAATTTACTTTGGCTGAGAACTTGAAGGTACTGCTGTTCTGCTACCAACCCAAATAAATTCACATCTGGCTTCAACCAAGTTCATCTTTATTTAAAGGATTAACAAGCCCATTTGAAACAATTCTTTGATTTACGTGGAGGGAGGTAGACAGATTTGTTTAGCCTCCCGACCCACCTTAAATCATCTTGCGGCCAGATCTCTGGCCGTCCAATTGACTCCTAGATGGTTTCCCTTCTCTTCATCAAGCTGAGAAGAAAAAACTACCTCCATCCAGGCCCACCTGGAAATTTGTGCAGAGATGGTCTGAATTGGTCTGCAAAGTGTGATTAGCTACCTACCTATTCACAATGCCTAGAAGACAGGCTACCAGACTTGGTAGTGGTGAAAGCCCCGACTTTCAGTCTGAGGTACTGGGTTTGCTCTGAAGTTGACCTTGGCAAGGCCCCTAACGGTCTGTGCAGCAGAATGCGGCTCGCAGTGCTCGGCTGCCACGTGAGCCTGGAGGTGCGAATCCGCTTTGGATGGGATCGTTTCTCTTGCGTTTACCATGAGGTTCTGTCCCTGATGGGGTCTACCCGCCCAACCCACGAGCTGGCTCAGTCTCAGCGCTAAGGTGCACTACGGAAGGGGCCGGACAGAGACTAGTACTCGAGATCTCCTGTAGCACAACACGAAAACGGGAGGGTATTTTGTCCTCCAACACCAAATCAAACTGGATTCAGTAAGAACGAGAGGATGTGCAATGCGCTGTGTACAATTTTTCATCTGTCTAGGAGGAAATCTAGCATCTGCCCTTCCACTCTTGTTGAGAAAGAGTAGCTGATCTCTCAAGTGCAGACGGTGAGAGAACAGCTGTGTTGATCCATCTTTTGCTTTTACACCATAGCTCCTTTTTCCAAAAATATATATGTATATACATATATATATTTCAGATTTACAGGGAATTTTTTTTTTTTTCTGAACAAGAGAAATATTGTCCATAGAAGTCCCAAGTGTCTTCCTTCTCAGGAGACCTCAATGATTTCCATGCTGCCTGAAAAGCTGGACTGGCTGCCCACTTTGCCCAGTTCTTCCCGCGACCTGTTCTCCGACATGATGCTCTCGCCAAATTCCATCTGGCAGCTTCTGCGTTTGAACTGCTTTTCGAAGGGGCTCTCTTCGTGCCAGCTCCGCCGGGAGTCGGCTCGGTCACTTGGCTTCTGCCGCCTGCGCACGGAGTAGCCCTGGTCGCCGCAGGTGGGCAGCTGGCTGCAGCTGTAGGCCGAGTAGCTGGCGCTGCCCCCGTAGACGGCCGAGGCCGAGTAGAAGTGAGAGGGCTCCGTGGCAAAATACCAACTGTTGGTCAAGGAAGGGGCGGAGGTCTGGGGAGCCAAGATATCCGAGTGCCAGCCCTTGAGGCCCAGGCCGGCAGCAGACTTGGCGAGGGGTTGCTGGCTGGTGGCCAGGCCAAGAAAGAAGCTGGGATGGCAGTTGTCCTCCACGCTCCCGCTCCGGTGCAGCGGCGAGCAGAGGGGCCGTGGGCCGGTCCCGCTGACGCCGGGTCGAACTGAGTGCACTCGCTTGCCCTGGCCATCGGAAGGCCTGGCTGGCTGAGGCTTCTTGGGGAGGTTGGCTTCCTCCTTACCTGGGCTGCTTTCCGGGCTCTGCTCCGATACTTCCTCAACCGGGGAGAACTGGCAGAGCTTGCTGGTCCCCTCCAGAGTTGTGGAAGGTTTGTAGTATTCCAGAGTGTCTTCTGAGGAGGAGAAACCATGCAAGGAGGCCGCCACGCTGCCTGAGTACGAGACGGATTTGATGTCCAGAGAGAAGGAGCGCTTGAGCTTACTGCTGTCTTCGAGCTTGCCTGAGGGCAGGTGGAGCCCGCTGAGCGCCTGGACCAGCGGCCCGTCCTCCACCAGCGAGGGCTGCGTGCTGGGCGCGCTGGGCACGCTGGCCGGGGGCGCGGGCCCTTGCCCTGCCGCCTCTGAGGTAGCAGAGTTGGCCCAGGGTGGACCGAGGCACATCGCACTCTTCTGTCCACCCTCGGAGACCACGGGGCCAGGTTCGTTTGGCTTCTCCAGGTGCAGCAGCTTGAGTTTGCTCTTTGGCCCTGATGCACCAGTCGGGTTCTTAATCTTCTTCTCGTAGTCCAGGAGTTGGCCCAGAAAATTGAAGTTTGGAGAGATGGTAGGCCTTTTTTCTTTCACAAATCTATGAAGAGAGGAAAGACACAAAAATCTTGACTTCTGCAACTACACTTTATCTTAAAAACTGCTAGAAAATAGAAATATTAAGTGAATAAATAAGATAGGGAATTATTAGAGCCTCCCGTAAAAACCCATGGAAGATGACTGGTATGAAAGCTCAGGGAGACATACAACATGTCCCTGGAGCATGCTAGAAAGAGAGGGGCCAGGCCCCCAAAGCTCTAGTTTTAGCCTTCTTATTTTCAAGGACCCAGAGTTTCCAACGCAACTGGCAATCGAGGATTCTGTGCTCACCCCTGGGGCCTCACCCCCCACCCCCCCAGCGCTGGTGCCACCATCAGACGTACAGGGTAACGGCCACTCTCCACAGCTTTCCCAGTATCGTGCCTCTCAAAGTCCCCACAGTCACTTCCTCAGAACATTTCATGTTTTAATTAATGACCAGAAAAGCGGTTATCAGATGACCAGAGCATCAAAGCACACACTCGAGTTCCTTCTCTTTGTCTTCAAATGACAGAGTCATCAGCTATCAGGTGGCCTGAGTGTGCTAAGCACTGGGCTAACGCATTAGACAGAGTATTATCTCATTCAGTCCCCAAACCTACCCCGTGTCAGGTAGGTGGATTACCCCCATCATATAAGGGACACAAAGTCCTTACTTAAATGACTTGCCCAAAATCACACAGCTGGGATTTAAAACCAGGCCTAATGTCTGGGTCCATTTTTGTAAACACTGTGTAAAAAAGAATCAAGGGGTAGAAACTAGTAATAAATAGCTTTTATGTTTAATTGTGGAAACACAGACTCTCAGAGATAGTAGACAAATCCTTCAGTGGCTCCTGACCCTCACGGACACGCCTCAGAAGATGCAGGAGTGCAACTACACTGAAGATTTGCATTTGAATATGGAAGGAAAAAAAAAAATCACAAACTCCTTGGAAATCAAGTAACCTAAAGCAAAGTAACAAAGCCAGAAACAACTGGCCCCACCATAACAAGTATAAACGTAGGGTCCGCATAATAAAACTTGGTAACATGACAGAAGAGTGCCTTTCCTTCCGGTTTCTACATGGTGTCAGAAGACCTGTAGGGAGAAAATCCTGACTGGGGGGACAAGGGAACTGATGCAGACCAAGGCAGGACCCTTCTCCAGGCTCACTCCTCGAATGAGAAGCTGCTCAGGTAGCTCCTTTCTTTCCAGATCTTCCAATTTGAGAAAAAAGTCCAATTGTTACAACAGGCCTGCTTCCTGCATCTGTATGTATTGGGTCTTTATCACACGGAAACTACCCACCTCTACCCACTAAGCACGCAGGGGCCTCCGATTTCACCCACTGCACAAACTCCGATCCTGTGCACGCTTGCCACTTGCCTGCCCTCCACTTGGCCCAAGGGTGGGGGGAGCAATCCAGCCAAAATGCAGAATCTGGGCAACTCTAGAATGTAGGACATTTTACTCGGTGAACGGATTTTGACAGTTATTTGCTCTCGGCTTTTCCTCACAGTGACAGAGGCAAAAAGCTTGAAGCAGAAGGAGGAATTCTGTAATGGGTATTCTGCTGGAGATTTTTTCCTCATATGTACTCCCCCAACTAGGAAAAGATATAAACTTACTTAGCAGGATGGTGATCTGTTCAGATTCGTTGTTCATGAAAATTAAAAAGGAGCTCAGGAGGAATCTGACACATGTTTGGGTGGAATTCATGCTAACTTGCAAAAGTGCATTCTTCTCTGGTCTTTGAAAAACCATTTAAAAATCCAGTCACCTGTAAGGCATGTAACTAGAACAGTCCTGATTTGCTTTAATTGGGTACCTGCCCTCCTCACCCTTCACGCTTCAGGTCAAATGAAAAGCCTGTCACACAAGATGCGTGCTGGCCCTCACCTGTAAGCTTCGTCTAAGGACATGTCCATCCTCTTCATGATGTAGGCGATGGCGATGGTGGCTGAGCGAGAGATGCCCGCTAAGCAGTGCACCAGGACACGCCCGTTGGAGGCCTTGGCTTTCTCTGAGGGAGTCAAATTCAAGAAGGGTCACTAAGAACAACCGTGGTCAACAGTGAGATCTTGCAGTCATGTACTTCCTTTCATCCGATAACTCAAAGTAAATCTCATCTACTTATATACTGTTCAATAGTTTTTTAGGGAGATAAAGGAAGATGACTTCCCCATCATTTACATTCAGGACAATGAAGGGCCAGACGTGTTAGTCAGCAACGACTCCCTAACTCAAGCTCGCTTCTTAGTACATTTCCCAATGGGTTTTTTACATTTTTTTATTTTAATAACTTTCCCTGGGTATAAATCCTACATTATGATGACATGATTCTACTTGTTTAGTGTGGAAAATTGCAGAATACAGAGAAGTGTAAAGAAAATAACCTCTCAAATCCGAAGATGTAGCTAATATTTTGTTTACCCATGTTGTCTGACACTTCAACTTTTTTCTAGTTAGCAAGAGATAGTAAACTTTTTTTCCAGTTTAGAGACAGAATTTTCAGTTTTGAGATATAACTGACATGTAACATTGTATTTCAGTATAATGATTTGCTACATATAGGAGGTATGAAATTTTTAAAAATATTTTCTCATTTCAAACATATGTGACATACATTAATTGAAAAAGCAGGAGGGTGGACTTCATCACCGTATCGCATCAGCAAGCAAGAGATGCCAGGTCAAGCTACTTTTAAAATGCTGACTCACAGAACCTATCTTCCTATAGTTTCCTGTTTTTGTTTAGACTTTTCTGTATGTCATGAAGTGGATCGACTTCATTTGCTAAATTTAAGAAGAAAACCACGTATATGCTATGAATCAGGTTTAGAAGCTCACGTTAGCAAGGACCAAGGGAACTTGAACCTTTCCTGGATATCCAGGAGTTCCTGACTGCATCATGTCTATTCCGCACGACATGGTAGGACTTTTGAACACTTTGTTAGAACCAACAACATTCAACCCAACAGTGCTGCCATCTTTCCCTGTTGATGGGCTTTACAAGCTACTTGTAGGAGTAAGTTGCCCCACGCCGCCTGGAAGCTACTAACATTTTAGCCAGTACCAGGACCGCCTCTGTTCTGAACGACATGCGTGCTTACCGGTGAGCCACTGCCACGGGGCTCAATTCTTCCCTTTTCACTCTTGTTTTAGCTGACACCAGCAAAAGTTACCACACCTTATATTACAGTTCCTGTAATTAACAGATATCCTGGGAATCTGCTCTGGCAGCTGAATAATAATATGAGACCACTCCAGTCTCACCGCTTCTGTTATAAGTATTACAAATTCCTAATGTATATGATTTATTATTCATTATATAAAAAACACATAGGACTTTTGGATAGTATATGAATAATCAACTTTCCTCTAGATAGTGAAGTCAAACACAATGAAATAGTAACAAATGAATATAAATTCTTCTTGAAACAAAGAAATATATACTATACAACATGATAATATATAAACCCATGTACGTAGAGTCCCATGCCTTCCTGGGCCCGTACCATGCTCCTCCTTTTCTCAACTACACAGTCGTCAGCCTATACTAATCTTAGTATTTCCCCTTTTGCCTAGGCTGCTAAGAAGCTCAAAGCTGAGATTTTTTACTCAATTTCAATAGGTAACTGTAATTCAGATTTTACTGTACCTTTTCTAGCCCCATATTACTTGGTTCTTGCCCTTTGATCCTGTTTTAATGTGTATGTGTGTAATGTATCTTTTGATCCCAGTCTCATACTGTAAGCTGCTTTAAATTCTTACTGGAAGTAGGCTGGGTTTCAATTTTTTAAACTTTATTTTTTAGTTAGAGAGTATGTGTGCACTCAAGTGGGGGGGTGGAGCAGTGGGGGGGTGGAGGGGAGGTGGGGTGGGGGAGAGGGAGAGAGAGAACCTTGAGCAGGCTCCATGCCCAGCACAGAGCCTGAGGGGCTCCATCCCATGACCCTGAGATCATGACCTGAGCCGAAATCAAGAGTCAGATGCTGAACGACTGAGCCACCCAGGAGCCCCTCAAATTTTTTTTAAATGTTGACAATATTCTCTCAATTATTTAAAATAGTTATCTCAAAACAAGACTATAATAAGGACTTTGGAGGATCTCGCTTCTACCTCAGAGGGCTTCACACTGGGCATATATTATGCACCCAGTAAATACTGGCTGGCTGACTAATATATTTTAAAAAGCAATCTTTATAAAAAATGTGAAAAGGGTTGGAAGGAAATAAAACAATGATGATAACAGATGTGTTAGGATGTTCTTTTTCGAATATTCTGCATTGTACTTACGTTGCTTTTACAATCACGACACTTTTGAGGATGTATTTTAGAAATCTAACTGAGGGGCACCTGGGGGGCTCAGTCTTGATTTCAGCTCAGGTCATGATCTCAGGATTGAGGGATCAAGCCCCGTAGGCTCAGTGCTCGGTGGGGAGTCTACCTGGGATTCTCTCTCTCCCTCTGCCACACCCCTCCCCACCCCGTGCAAGCTCTCTCCAAAATAAATCAATCAATCTTAAAAAAAAAAGTATTACACTGGATTGAGGTTCTGCTCTTGGGAGAAATGAGTGCTAAAGGGAGTCTTAAAGCAAAGGAGGTCACATGCCCAGGGACCTGGCAGAGAGAAGGGAAAGGTGTGCGAGGCGGCCGTGCAGGGGGACCCAACAGGTGGCTGTGGCACACATGTCATGGGGCAGGGGGGTTACCAGAAAGGAGGTGTCAAAGGTGGGGAGCAGGTGCTGCAACGTCTGGGAACATTAGGCTAAGGACCACAGGTTGCTGAACAGGGAACAGCAAAAGCACTGACAGTGACAAGCGGAAAGAAGAAAGGCAGGCTGTCACTACAGCAGTTCAGGAATAAAAATCTAGGACAAAAAAGGGCAGAGAGGATAACAAACGAAAAAGGTAAGGGGGAGCCAGTGAGGATGAGACGTTATAAAGGCCAAAAATAAAGAAGCAATAACTGAACTCACTGAGGGCAGCTCTAAGGAAAACCAAAAGAACTTCTCAGATGATCATTTGTAAAACTACTATTTAGTAAGAGCCAATTATGAGTTAGGCACTTTGCAAGGTATTCTCCATCCGTTATCTATTTTAATCCTCACAATATCCCTCTAAAGTATACATACTATCTTCAGTTTCCAGGTCAGGAAACAGAGAAACTTACCCCAAATCACTAAACTAGTAACCAAGGAAGGCAGGGCCCAAATACAGTTTGGCTCCAAAGTACATGCCCTGAGTCACCCCCCTGTGTGGCCTATGCGCAAACCCAAGAGGCGAGGCAGGAGCCGAGGGTAGGGTGAGGAGGGAGAGGGCCAGAGGGGCAGCCAGCCGGGACCGGGCACCTCGACAGTGTCCCACAGTCCCAGGCAACCCCAGCTCACTGCTGCCCATGTGAACTAAAAATAAAGACAAAACTCCAGGAACACTTGAGTCCTTCCAACAAACCCAGAAACTTATTTGAAATTTATCTCAATAATAAAAAGACAAAACCCCCACAAGTCTGCAAGTCACTCAGCCCTGGTATGGGGGCAGTCTTCCCACTGCACTCCCTGCCAGGACGGACCACGGCGGAGAGCACGGCAGAGGCCAGCAACCACCGTGACCCCGCTGGATGCCCTGAATTACCTGGAGGGGTGGTGGTGGGGGGACAGTGACCCCAGTAAATAGGGATGAGTAAGTGAAATACTGGGAAGTATAAATATTTTCAGATATTAATAAATCAGAATAGCATTTGGGTGTGCTTAACCAAGCTAAAACATGGTGAATTCCTTCTGTCTGAATTAAGTGGCAGGATGACCCCAGTATTTCTCAGGAGAGAAGTAAGCAAGCTGGGGCAAAGTTATTCATATTCTCTCTTTTCTGCTAACCCTCCTAAAGCTCAGACATTATGATGAGTTCTCTTCTAAACAGATCCTGAAATTGCACTTTTAGCTGAATCTAGAGCCAATGTCTTTGGATTGACAGGACATGCAATAGGAACATTAACTGTAAGTGTTATCTTCTAAAGAGGCAAAAACTGAATGATATACTGAATTCTTCCTAGTAATACAACAGTGGGGGTGATTCATTTGGGAGTTCTGTTTGTGAATATTATAATGTGAATTATCTTCTCTAAAGCCTTTTATCTTCTGATGTTTCAAAGAATGCATCCTAATTAAAGATGAAAACTTTTGGCAATCTGGAATCCTGAAGGAAAAAAAGAGGGAGAACTGTTTTGGAATTACTCAAAGTTCCAAAAGCATTATCTAGAAATTCCTCTCACAGATGAAAAGGTATAGTTGAAGGGCTTAATGTACTTAATTTCACATTTTACAAGGAACTAGTTCTTTTTTAATTACAGTAACAAATTTGGAGTAATTAATTATGGGGTAGAATGCACACGCTTGTATGACTAGACGAAGAAAACATCAAATACTTATCACATGGAATATCAGGAGTGAAGCTCATCATGCTGCTCAAGAGCGAACAGCGTATCTCCCCTGTTCAGCCACTCTCCACTAAAACTACATTTCAAATACATATCACCAGTTTACCACAGAAGACCTGATCCTGAGGCGCCAAAATGTCACCAAGCCCCTGCAGCTAGGAGTCAGGAGGCTCCAGGACTGACTGGCCAGCAAGCAGAACACAGCACAGGGCAGATTAGAGCCTGCCACAACCAACCCCAAGGACGTGACTGGAGGGGTGGGGGTGGGGGTGGTGTGTGGTGTGGGGTGTGTGGGTGTGTGGGTGTGTGTTGGAATTTTATTAGATCCCATCCTACTTGAAATTACTGGCACGTGGACTGAGGCTTACAAATCTCATGACATAAAGACTTTAAATGTAATGGGATGTGTTTTCACAGGATTTGACTTTTCTCTGGGAGAACATAGTAGCAAGGTAAAAACAGTTTAAGGAATGCCACCAAGGTTTCCAAAAGTCTTTTACAGGATTTGAAAAAATAGCTGAAATTTAATCCCAGAAGTTTAAGTGATTTTCAAACACTTGCAAATACGCAATCACAGATCCCATCAGGCTTAACCTTGGTAGTGTTAAGGTAGCTAGAATGTCACAGGGCAGTCCCTCAGGAACAGCATGGCACACACGTCACCTCGGCCACTGAATAAGATAAGCAGCATCATGTGTTGTTCCTAGACTTATGAAATCTCTGAACATAGGCCCCTCTTCTCTCCAGAGAGAAAAAGGGAGGGAGGTAAGGGGTACACCTGCACATGAGACTATAACCCAGACGACTTGTAATACTACTGGAGCCACTTACCAATGAAATCCACTGATTTGTCCAACCATGGCAAAATCTTCTCACAAAAGCTGTCATTCACAGGCACTCGCAGGAAGTGAGACTCGGGGATAAAGTCGGGCTTAGGACAGGTATTGCTGGCATTTAACACATAACCAATCCCATTCTGTTGCATCAGCTCCTATGGAGGGAAAGAGCAATTACAGTGATTAACATACCAGCACAATCATTTTGGAAGAGTAAAGTTTAATCATAACAATTACTAGTTTCCTTGAAATCAGAGTTAATTCAATCGGTGAAATCCAAAAACCTAGCACAGGGACATTTAGAGGCTTTAGTTTAAAGCAGAATTGTTTGTAAGGGCAAAAAAAAAAGGCTTGAAAGGATACCTGGGTGGCTCAGTAGGTTGAGCATCGGACTCTTGGTTTCAGCTCAGGTTATGATCTCAGGGTCATGAGATCGAGCCCGGTATTAGGCTCCACGATCAGCAGGGAGTCGGCTTGAGAGTCTCTCCCGCTGCCCCTCCCCCAACTGTCTTGCATGCATGTGCACTCCCCCCTCTCTCTCAAGTAAATCTTGAAAATAAAATAGTACGTTTGAAGATCACGCATCATTAATATAATCAACTCTGTTATCTTCATTACTGAGAAAGAAGTGGAAGAACAGAAAATAAAACCATGACAGTTTACTAGGACTTTAGAGTGAAGGCACACACAACACAAACATTTTCTTCCCACGGAACATGCCGGTTGTTCTCAAAGATAAAGTCCTAGGCAGCCTTGTGGCTCTGAATACTCTCTTTAAAAGACTGAATCTATTGCCTGTGCTTTAATTATCAGTTCTACACATTGACAACTCCTAAATATACATTCTCTTTAATTTCCCACCTGTCTCTCCAACTACCTACTGGATATCTCTGTTTGTATGTTTCTCAGGCCCTTCAAACTCACAATGTCAGAAACTCAACACGATACATCTCTCTGTGCCCCAAAGTCCTGTTTCCTCTCTGTAATCCAAAGTTGGTTTATGGTAATACCATCTACTCAGACACTTGAGCTAGAAAACACGATCGTGTCCCTTCTCTTCCTTCACGACCCGCATCCAAATGGTTGCCAGATCCTTTTGGTATCCCCCTCCCATCTGCCCTCTCCTCTCTGTTCCCTGTCACTGCTTGGTCAGTGGGCAGCCACAACAACAAAAAAGCCACCAGGGAGCTCCTGAAGTTGTGATGCTTCATCTCTAAACCATATACTGAACAAAATCCAGAGTAATCCTTCTTATAACCAAACACGGGCTAAGTGCTCTGCCCACACTTCAACGTCACTGTGTCGCTGCCTGCTCTTGTCCAAATCCCCCAACGTCACACGTACACCCACCCCTCCCTGCTGCCGCTCACACCGCTCCTGTGCTTCGCAGGCCCTGTTCCTCTTCCTGGTCACTCTCGTCCACTTTTCCAGCTTTGATGAAATTAACTTTACCAAAATTAACTCCTTCCACTGACACATAATTCACCATTCCATTCTCTGCCCTTCCAAAGTACTTTGTTCACTGAGCACACTGTTGTAATGAGCACATAATTCTTGTCTCTCCTATTAAGTAGTGAAGTAGTGAGATCTTGGACTGATTCGCACTTGTTTTTCTACCTTCAGCACCAGGTACCTAGTTGTACTCAATACGTGTTTGTTCAACCGACAGCCTGTATACCATTTTCCAGGCAAGCCTACATAACCGCACTTCCTTTAGTTCGAAATGTTCTAAGCCTAAAATCTTTTTTTTTTTAAAGATTTTATTTATTTATTTGAGAGAGAGAGAATGAGAGATAGAGAGCACGAGAGGGAAGAGGGTCAGAGGGAGAAGCAGACTCCCTGCCGAGCAGGGAGCCCGATGTGGGACTCGATCCCGGGACTCCAGGATCATGACCCGAGCCGAAGGCAGTCGCTTAACCAACTGAGCCACCCAGGCGCCCAGCCTGAAATCTCTTTTAAGCAACTCCGGTCATTTATTCCCTTTCTGTGAATGGGAATGGTACCTCCTCTACAAATGTTTTCCAACTACCTGAGAGACAGTTGGTCATTTTCTTCCTATTTTCCCTCCTGAAATATGCCAATTCCCTAAACCTCTTCGTTTACCACATCTGGCACAATACATTTTACATAAAAGGTAGACTTAATAAATCCAAGTCATGTATGCAACCCTCTCTCAACTAGGAGATAATGTCAAGAAACAGCTTTGGTTGGGAACCACGTGAGTTTCCTGGAGTGACCCACTGACCCTGGCGCTGTGTCAGAGCCCCAGTCTTCTCATGCTCTCATGTGCTTCTGGGAGGTTCACAATCAGGCTGTGAAGATCTTCATGGTGTGTACTACAACTTTTCAACTTTTGCACATGTAGCAAAGGTCACATTTGTTTTTCCACGCTGAGATTACTACCATTCGATCAACCGCAGTATCTCCCATGTAAGCACAGCAATGGGTCACTGGAGTTAAGGAGCCTTTCAGGCCTTTCTTGAAATGGTCCTTAAAGGAATCATTTTATAGGTCTTTCTCCTATCCACCAACAGGACTACAAATTAAAAGTGAAGGGAGGTAGTTACGTAGCTTTCCACCCAATTCAGTAATGAAGACCTAGAAGTTTCGGAAGATAACAGGCAGTTCTCACTAAGGACAAAATGTGTTACAAGTCTGTAATGACTGTCAAACTTGATTTCCCCATAGAAAGAGTAATATACTTCTCACAAGTAGCCTCATAACCTACAGTTTATAGAAATGGCCACTGAACCTAAATTCAATCAAAAAATATTTGCTGAGCACCTTTGCTAGAGGCTTAGTAATATAATAATATTATGGTACATAGTACATATTAATAAAATAATATCTACCAGAATAATATCTGTTAATGAATCCCTACTATTTCCAAGTACTGGGCTGAACATTTAAATAGACTGTGTCTCGAGGATGTGAAGAAAAAGAAACCCTCCTACACTGTTGGTGGGAATGCTAACTGGGACAACCGGTCTAGAAAACAGTATGGAGTTTCCTCAAAAAGTTAAAACTAGAACTATGCTATGATCCAGTAATTGCACTACTGGGTATTTACCCAAATAATACAAGAACACTAATTCAAAGGCATACATGCATCCCTATGTTATAGCAGCATTATTTACAATAGCCAAATAATGGAAATAGCCCAAGTGTCCATGGATAGATGAATGGATAAAGAAGATGTGGTGTGTATACACACACACACACACACACTGGAATACTATTTGGCCACAAAAAAGAATGAAATCTTGCCATTTGCAACAACATGGAAGGAGCTAGCTTAGCATGTAATGCTAAGTGATGTAAGTCAGAGAAAGACAAATACTATACTTCAACTTCTATGTGGAATCTAAGAAACAAACAAGGGGGGAAAAAAAGACAAAGAAACAAACTCAACTCCAGAGCACACACTGATGGTTACCAGAGGGGAGTGGGTGGGGGGGATGAGGGAAACAGGTGATGGGGATGAAGGAGTAAGTACACCTGTTGTGATGAGCACACCGGGTGATGTACGGAAGTGCTGAGTCACTACAGCGCACAGCTGAAAGTAATAGAAAACACTGCATTTTAACTATACTGGAATTAAAATTAAAAACTTAACAATAAATACATAGATGGTCTCATTTAATCCTCGTACAACCACCCTCTGACGTGGGTACTACTATTATCCTCATTTTAAGTTTTTTTTTTTTTATTTGAGAGAGACAGCCTGAGAGAGGAGAGGGTCAGTGGGAGAGGCAGACTCCCCGCTGAGCGGGGAGCCCGATGTGGGACTCGATCCCAGGACTCTGGGATCATGACCTGAGCCGAAGGCAGTCGCTTAACCAACTGAGCCACCCAGATGCCCTATTATCCTCATTTTAAAAATGGGGAAACTGGGCACCTTGGGTGGCTCAGATGGTTAAGCGACTGCCTTCGGCTCAGGTCATGATCCCAGAGTCCTGGGATCGAGTCCCACATCGGGCTCCCCGCTCAGCAGGGAGTCTGCCTCTCCCACTGACCCTCTCCTCTCTCAGGCTGTCTCTCTCTCTCTAATAAATAAATAAAATAAAATCTTTTTAAAAAATGGGGAAATTGAGGTTTGGAGAGGTTGCATGTTTGCCAAGTCACACAGCTAGCAAGTGGTATAGAGTCAAATTGAAATCCAAGTACATTCGTCTCCAGAATCTGTCCTGAGTCGCCATGCTCTCATGCAAGTTAGATGGACCAACAAGGTAACTAGCCTACATACACACATCCTTTTTAACTAAATGAAGTAATAGAAAGTTTAACTTCATTCTTTATGCCCTTTTCAACTATCACTAATAAATTAGAAAGTAAAAGGACACCACTCGGGCCATGAGCTTCTGCGAGGAGGCTTTCCAAGCCAGCAACTCAGGACACAGGTGAGGAGATGCAGTCAAGGTGTTTATGTTGCCCTCTGCTTTCCCTTACTGTCCCGGCCGCTGCAGCCACAAGCGTCACGGTGCTGGCCCCCGGGCCGCGTTGACATTGGCGTCTATCGCTGCACGGTGAGGACAGGCTGCCGGCGTGCCCGGTCCCTGCCCTCCTGCTCACAGCTGCCACACCCCCAGCACAGCAACCCCTTGACGCTGGACACAGCAGACACGAGAAGCATGCCCTTCGATAAGCCAAGCTCACAATGCTGTTGTAGCTCAAAAAAGTATTTTTCACTGATAAAACAATGTACCATAATAGACGCATTTAAGGAGTTGCTTTGTGGGTTTTTTTTTAAGATTTTTTTTGCGGGGGGGGGGGCCAGTCATCTCTACACCCAATGTGGGGCTCGAACTCATGACCCTGAGATAAGAGTCGCATGCTCTTCTGACTGAGCCCGCCAGATGCCCCAGCACTTTTACTTTTAAACAACTGGCAAAACGGGGAAAGGGGAAAAAGGCATTAATGTATTAAAACTGAGTGATGGTAAAATAATTTAAACACAAAATGAGAAAAAAGGAAATGATCTCAATGATAAACATAATTTGATTTGTAAAAATTTTACAGCAAAAAGAATCTACTTAAATCAATTATCAGTTATTCCCCGAAATTCTTTTTGTAATAAAATAGGACTTGATAAATAAAACGTGACCAATTTTGAAATCAAAGAGGCAAGCAAAAAAATCCTAAAATGTTACCATGT